TAGAGAGAGAGAGAGAGAGAGAGAGAGAGAGAGAGAGAGAGAGAGAGAGAGAGAGCAGGCAGGCAATATTATATCAATACAGAACAATATCACAAATATACCATTGCTCGCCCCCACTGTGCAGCGCCCTGTTCTTTAGCAAGATATGTCGTTTCTTGCTCAAGGACCAACCACCAAATCTCCGTGTCACAGACAATTGCTTGACTTTACTTTTGAGTCTGAACTTACCACTCGCTTTGCCACTATCATTTGGATTGTTGGTTTAGCATCGTGACGAAATCAGGCTCTCGTCAAAATATTGAAAATGAAGGCACACATATTTTGCCGCCTGTTGGGCATTTAAAGATACACATTTATGTGGATTTTACTGAAAAACGTTCATCGAATACTCAAAAAGAAATGTAAATTTGCAATTTCTAAGGAAAGTGCAGCATTGCAGTTTACAAAACTTTGGCCGCCATTTTTTTCGCCATTTTTACCCGTGACACTTGGCGACCTCACCATCTTCTCTTCAATCCAAAATATCTCGACTTTTATTTTCCATAGATGGGTACTGTTTCAATCAAAAGCAAGACAAACATCCTTTAAGATGATACCAATAGCTCCATATGCCCGAGCCTGATTCCAACGTGCGATGGCACATTATCTCTCCCCCTCCCCCCCCCCTCCCGATTCTACCCAACTGCCTCTTTGTATTTCAGTCTCTGAAGCTACCTCTGAAGAAAATTTTCACATCCTTGCCAGTGTATGCAATCATCATCTCCGGGTTTACTGTTGACTTTAGCGGGACGCTGTTCCATCTGTATATACCGTTGTATCTCTCAGAAGTCATGTTCTTCGACGTGTCATCGGTGAGTTGGTGTTACCGATCCAGTGTTGTCTTTGTTATCGATCCAGTGTTGTTGTTGTTATCGATCCAGTGTGGTTGTTGTTATCGATCAAGTGTGGTTTTTGTGATCGATCCAGTGTGGTTGTTGTTATCGATCCAGTGTGGTTGTTGTTATCGATCCAGTGTTGTGGTTGTTATCGATCCAGTGTGGTTGTTGTTATCGATCCAGTGTGGTTGTTGTTATCGATCCAGTGTTGTGGTTGTTATCGATCCAGTGTTGTTGTTATCGATCCAGTGTGGTTGTTGTTATCGATCCAGTGTGGTTGTTGTTA